AGCCGCGCCCGCCCCGCGCCCGGAGCCCCCCGGGGGACCCGGGCTCCCACCGCTTTCTAACCCCGGGATCGCGTTCTCCATTTCCGCCCCTGCCGGCTGCCCCAGCCAGATCTCCGCGGTGGCTCGGACTCCGGACCCGGGGGGGGGGTCTTGGTGCTATTCTGGCCCTCGGAGGCCCTCTTTTTGTTCTGCGTATAACTTACTCCCGGGAAATTCCCCCAGCGCCGTGGTTTTTGGTGTGCTCTCAGACTGTGCAGCCATCCCCACTATCTAATTCCAGAACAGTTTCCTCAGCCCAGAAACCTCATACCCACCAAGCCGCCACTCCCCGCTCCCTCCTCAGCCCCTGGCAACCGCCAACCTTCTGTCTCTGCGGACTTTCCTACGCTGGACATTTCATATAAGTGGAATCATATACTATGTGGCCTTTTGTGTCTGGCTTTCTTCACTCGGAGTCATGTTTTTTAGCTTTATCCATGCTGCACTGCAAAGCAGGATTACACGCGATCGGATGCCTGTCCTGCAGGCTCAGAAAAATGCTCATCGGTTGATAGGCTGTTTCCACTGTTTGCTTTTTATTTTTTCAAATGTTGCTGTGAACATTTGGTGACTAAGTTTTTTTCCCCTTGTGTGAAAGTATACTTCATGCCTAGAAATGAAGTGCCAGGTCCTGTGGTAATTCCATGTTTAACCTTTTGAGGGGCTCACACGCTCCCACTCCACCAGGAGTGTGCAGGGTTCCAGCTTCTCCGTATCATCACCAGTTTAATTCTACTCCTCATAGTGGGTTTGATGAGGTATCTCGTTGTGGTTTTGATTTACACTTACCTGATGATTGATGATGTTGAATATTAATTGTGGGCTTTTTTTTCTATTTGTAGCAATACAAATAGCTATTTGCTATTTGTAGCTTTATTTAATTATTATTTGTAGCTTTGCTATTTGTGGCTTTTAGAGAAGCATGTATTCCATTTCTTTGCCTGTATTTTTAGTCAGATTGTCTTTTGTGATTAAATTGCAAGAGCACTTTAAATAGTCTGGATCTGTCCCTAGAGAACTTTATCTCTTATTCAGTATACAGATTCACTCATTTCCACACACACAGAGGTGACATCTTCAGGTACCTGTCTTGTGCCTAGCTTCTGGTGTGTGTGTGTGTGTGTGTGTGTGTGTGTGTTCCTGTCTGCAAGAGCCTTTGTGGGTGTTCAGGGAACTTCCTGGGAGACTGCTTGGGTGAGCAGGCCAGGGGACTAGCCTACCCCTTGTCCCCATGAGTGATCCTGGGCCCCGGTGCTTGATCCGTGTACCCCTGTCTGGCAGGAACATTTAACTTGTCCTTGCTGGGGTCAGAGAAGGCCAGAAAGAGTTGCAGGACAGGAGGTCTGAAGGTACAGACCGCCGGGCTGAATGGTGGCTTGACACAAACGTGTTCTGGGGACAGTCCGTGCTGGGAAGGGCTTAGCTGGGGGTCAGGTCCTTCCTGAGTTAATAGTTGTGGGCAGGAGTTGAGGAAGTCACAGACTGGAAGTTGTGGCAGCTGCTCTGCATGGGTCCCCCAGCTCCAGACACCCCAGGAAGCCGTAGGGGATTAGAGAGTAGGGCCAGACCTAGTGGGGAGGCCTCTTGGAATTGGCCTTGCAGATGAGGCCCGGCCGTGGGTAGGGAAGACGGGGGGGGGAGCGGGAGGGGGGGGGGGGGGGGGGCAGAGGAGGAGGGCTTGCAGGCTTTGGAAGGATTGGGTGGGCCACAGCTTCTGTGACTCCCAGGAACACTGGAGGTGAGCAGCGCAGGTCTGGCACCTGGCCTCTCCTAGTGTGGGGCCCAGCTGCTCCCGGCACGGGTCCATGCGTGCAGGCGTGAGCCGCAGGTGGGAGAAGTGGGCGCCCCTCTCTGCTCTGTACTGGCATCTTCACCACAGCCTGCGCACACCCTGTCTCTGTCTCTAGGCCCCTGACGTGGGTGTCCTAGCTGCCAACACAGCCCGGAGCCAGACGCCAGGGCCGGGTTCTGTGGGCTCCTGGGGGGATGGGGAGTAGCGTTCAGCAGCTCTCTGGTGGGATCTGAGGTGAGGAGGAAGCGGCCACCACCTGGTCCCCCTCAGCTGTGTGAGCAGATGTCCTGTGCACAGCCGGCGGCTGTCTGGACGGAGAGACAGCTGGCTAATCTCGCTGTCCGTGTCACACGCTCTGCCTCTTGCTGCCTGCGTGGGTGCCCACGCTGGGCAGACCTCGGTGGGTGCCACACAGCCTCTGGAGGCCCCGCGGACGGGGGACCCTGCTGTGCCCCTGCCCTGTTGCCAGTTCCCAGGGTTTGGCCCCGCGAGCGAGGCCTGTGGGTAGTTTTTACCCTAGGGAAGGATGCCCAAGCGCAGATTCTCCCACGGAGGCCGGAACCGGGAGTGAGGAGGCGATAGGTGGGGGAGGGGCGCACAGCCCCTCCCTGCAGGCAGAGGAAGAACGACACCTGTTGACAGTCCCGCACTTGCCCTGCAGCAGCCTGCCTGGCACGGCCGCCTTTGTGCATTGTGCTGGTAGGGGTGCCCTCTGGTGCCCCGCAGGCTGCTGCACGCTGAGAGGAGGCGTGGTTGTCTGGGGGCAGTGGGTGGCTTTGGCATGAGCTCCCTGATGGCTGGGGGAAGCCAGGCTCTGCAAAGCACCCGAGGTGGCCTACTTTGGGGAAGGGGAGAGGGGGTGTCTTTCTGGCTAGGAATCAAAATGTGGCATCAGGGTGAAGTAGACGGTGCTACCTATCCATGCCTTACCTACGGCTCTCCCGGGTCGTCCCCCTCTGCACAGCCTCATAACTGCTGCCCAGACATACCAGTGTGGCCCTAGCAGCGCAGCTCTGGGGCAGAAGAGGGTCTCCCCTTGGGTTTCCTCCGAGTTGTGCCGTGTACCCCCCCGCTGAAGGCTCATGCAGTCTGAACCTCGGGGTCCTCTGCCAATTCTTTGGGGTCCATGGCGCTCATTCACCTCACAGGCCAGTGTGCCCCGCCTCTCGGGCCAGGACCCTGACTTCAGCTCTCTGTGGCTATCATGGTCGCCTCCCTTCCCACGGGTGAGCACACTCACCACCACCACGGCAGGGCCTGGGTGTGGCTGTGCAGGGTCAGGTGCGTGCGTGGCCCTGTGTGAGGGACGCCCTGGCAGTCCAGGGGGCGGGTCTGGGGACACCTGGCCGTACCTGCCGATGTGCCAATGTGCCACGTGATGAGGAGCCCGGCCCCTCCTGGCGAGGTCCCGGCTGGCCTGGGCCTCCACACAGGAGGAAAGCCAGCCTCCCAGCTGGCAGCTCAGCACCGTGGCCGTGGAAAAAGCAAGCCGCAAGCTGCATTTGTTTTTCTTTGCGATACCTGAGGTCGGGCGGCCAGGGGAAGTGGGCTGGAGGTCTGGCCAGGGCACGACGCTGCCAGAAGCTGTTGGCTCTCTCTGGCAGATGGGGAGGTGGGGGCTGGGCCCATGGTCACAGTGTCCTGGCCACAGCTGATGTGGCACCTGGCGGGCGGGGATCCCGCTCCTGGTTGCGGCACCGGGCGACGCAGCTCTGTCTCCAGCTCTGTCTGCGCTGCCCATCTGCCGTCAGCAGCCCTCTGTGAGCCATGGCCTCGGTGGCCGGGCACAGAGGCAGGCCCTCCAGCACGCATCTGCCCCAGCTGCTCCCTGGGGTCCAGGGCACTCTCTTGGGGTGCACGGCTGTTGAGGGAACACATGAGCTCCTATCTGTGGTACACGGGGGCATTCCTGTTAGGCAGTGCCTTGGTTCTTGGGGTAGTGGCTGCCTGTGGTTCGTCTTCCTCTGTCCAGCTGGTCCCCGGGGCAGAGAATGGGTGAACAGTGGGCAGGTGGGCGAGGGAGCTGACCTGTGCTCTCCCGAGTCCGTGGACCCTGTGGTCGGTGCTCTCTCTGTGGCACAGCCCCCCGCCTCGTGCTGGGCAGGTCTGGCACCGGACGGTGGCTCAGCCCTCAGGGACACATGGATGCGCTCGGGTTGGAAGGTGGACTTGTGCAGGGTAGAGATTCAGACCGTGGGGAGGACAGAGGGTTAATCTCAGCTCTGGTCTCTCAGTGCTGGAATTTGTTTTGATTTTGTTTCACACAGAAATTAAACGCTGTCTGGCGGGGCTGAGGTTTCCTCTTCAGGGCACTGCGGCTGCTGGAACTGCACCCTTGGCTCCCTCCGCCCTGGCCCCGAGCGCACGGGTTCCCGAGCAGGGTGGCCGAGTGCGACAAGACCTACCGTCAGGAGGAAGGGCTGGGGCCTGGTGAGCCTCCACGGGGCTCGCAGGTCCCGCCGGAGCCCGTGGCTCAGGTGACAGCCTGGGCAGGGTGGCCCGTTGGGGCCTTGTGGCTCTCCAGCGCCTGCCTGAGGGAGAGAACCACCTTGCTAGAGCACAGAGGAGGTTCCTTGGTCACTAGGCAGCCACAGAGTGGCGCCTGAGGCCTGGCCCGAGGAACCAGGAGTGGCCTCCAGACGCCCTGTAAGTCAGACTCGCTCTATAGGTCAGTCGAGGGGGACTTCTGGTCACCAGCCTGTCAGCACAGCTTCACCGGGGCCAGTGCTGACCCATGGCCAGCTTCAGAGGCCAGGGAGGTGGTTCTGTAACCCCTCCCTGTGCTGCTTCCCCGAGCAGAGACCAGAGCCTCAGCAGGACTTCGCAGAATGGAGCTGGCAGCCCTGGCCAGCTCCTTCCAGTGGGCCTCCGTCTTCTAGGAAGGCTGCATCTTGAACGTAGGAAAGGGATGGGGCCTGGGGTGCTGCGGGCATGGGAATCCGTTGGGCCACACCAGACTCTTTAGGAAAAAACCTTGAGTCAGCACCATGGCTGGGTAGGGGCTGCGGCGGACTGGAGGACTTCCACGTGAGAGGGCTGGTCCTGTCCTGACTTTCCCTTGTGGGATCCAGCCCTGGCCCTACCACTGAAGGCCCTGGCCTCAGTCTCCCCCGTGTGTGGACACCAACACCCTGCCAGGTTGCGCAAGAGGACATGAAGATCTGTGGGGACGTTTGCGGGTGCAGGGATAGCATCCCCCACTCCACTCAGTCCTCTTGCTGGAACTAAAGCTGCGCTTGCTTGTGCACACGTGTGTGTATGCACATGCATATTTGTGTGCACCCATCTGCACTTGTGTACGCATGAGTGTGTGTATGTGTCTCCAAGATCTTATGATGGGTTCTTTGGCTATGTATGCATGTGTATGTGCATTTGCAAGTTATGTGTGTGTGCCTGAATCCTAGTGTGTTGGTTTGCACATGGGTTCATGGGTATGCACACGTTTATATACATATCTGTGTCTGGACAGACAGACATGAATGTGTATCTGAGTGTACGCATGTGAGAATAGATGCTGTGAGGAACTGTGAGCGTGGTTTGGAGATGGTGTGGGGGCCCCCTCCCTCCGCTGTGAGACCGGCAGGGTCTCAGCCCCCAAGGTTCTAGCCACACATAGCCGATAACCTAGTTGCTTGTATGGTTGAACACCCCGCTTGGTCTTGGGGTCTCTGTGTCGGGGGCTGGTGTGTCTGCGGGAGCTCACTGGCTCACATAGACTCATCCAGGACATTCTGTGACGTGTCCCACACACGGCTGCTCCTTCCCATGTGACAGCTGCCTCCTTCCTATTTCTGCCCAGCCCTGGAAGCCTTGCCAACAGGCTGTGCTGGGGTCTCTGCAGTCCTTTCGTCTGGGGACTTCTGTTCTATCCCCAGCATCTTTTCCTTTCTCTTAGTGGTTTACCCTGTCCAGGATGACTCTGCCTTAAGTTTCTTACCTTGGTTAGACTTGCAAACACCCTCATTCAAATAAGAGTCCTTCCCCTGGTTCTGAGTAGGCATGCATTTTGTTTTCCACTATGTATATTTTGTCCCACTAAAGTGTTTTATCCTCTGCTTTAAATTTTTTTGTGTGTGTTGTTTCCTTTTTCTTTTTTTTTTTTTTTTTTTGGGTCCGGTCGTGGGGCCTGGGCCTGGGCCTGGGCACTGTCCCTCAGCTCTTTAGCTAAAGGCTAGCGCTCTACCACTTGAGCCACAGCGCCACTTCCGGCTTTTTTCTTTTTGCTTATGTGGTGCTGAGGAATCGAACCCAGGGCCTCATGCATGCAAGGCAAACGCTCTACCACTGAGCCACCTTCCCAGCCCCATGCTTTAAATTATTTTTGTCAACAGTTTCTTAAATACAGAAGCTTGGTCAGGGATAACTAGGCATGTGTAGTAATGGGGCTAAGACCCAGTCAGGCAAGCATCGTGCGCCCTGTGCTTGAAGGAAGCCTGTTTTAAAACAGAAAGACGAATTTAACGAGGAAAGAATGACAACAGAAGCAGATAGGTTTGGAATATCTGTAAAGGAGAAACCACAAAAACTGACCCAGCAAGTTTGGAAACACCAGACAGAACTAGGGAGAGAATGTCAGTAATAGACATTCATAGAAAAGTAGATTGGAAACAGCTGAAGGGAATTAGCAAACCGGAAGACTGGTCAGAAGAAATTATGCAGAGTACAGTGTGGAGAGGTGGACAGATGAAAACATCTAGCCCCGGGAAGGCCCTAGAAGTCTGGGGAGAGAGCCGGACAGGCTGGGTAAAGCTATAAAGAAGATTCAGCTATCTCGGGTCTTCCGAGGCAGAGTGGAAATACGTCTGTGTAGGAATCTAACATAGCAGAAGGACGGAACACTGAAGTCAGCACCCTAAGGGCGACCAGAGGGCGGGGCCAGGGGAAGCAAGACTGGCCCTCATGCAGGGCAGAGGGTCCGTGTCAGGCGCAGGTGAGCCCACGCTGAGCCCCCAGCACGGACCGCAAAACATAACCCCATATAATTCACCAGGTGACCCAGACAAGAAAGGACAGACTGATAATCAGACACGGCAAGTGACAGCCTCCTGCCATAGTGCTGTGGGAGTGGAGACCATACACGGGGGGCGGGGAGCGGGGAGGGGGGACCTGCTAAGCTGCAGGCAGAGAGAGAAGACTATTTAAAATCCCCTAAAAATGGTCAGAAGGAGGAAAACCCAAAGGGCCAGTGTGCTCAGCAGACTGGATGAAATGGAGCAGTACACCAAGCCCTGGATGGATGAGGCCGGGTTGCTTGGGTGTCACTCAGGCTCATGCTGTCAGAAGGGTTCCGGGCGAGATGCCCATCAGGGCGTAGACACAGCAAGGATGGGGCACACCTGGGGCTGAGGCGAAATGAGAATCTGGAGAGAAGCCGCGAGCGGAACAGCGACTCAGGCTCAGTGCAGCCACCTGAGGTTGGGGATCCAGCGTCACTGAATATGTTAGTGAGGCCTGAGCACTGAGGAGGCCTGGCTCAAGTGGTCACTCACCAGCCTAGTGAGTTCAAACCCCAGTTCTGCAAAGAAAGAGAATCCCTGGGAGATGCAGGGGAAGCACGTCAGCCTGGTGCGGAGGAGTCGAAGGAAGACAGGAGAGACAGAGAGAGACACGGGCCCAAACGCAGAGTCAGAGGAGGCGGCAGCTTTCCCTGAAGACGTCTGGGAGATGCCGAGGAGTTCTGTGAGGAAATTGTCTCCTAAGGCTTTAAGAAAGTGAATGCTGGCAGCTCCTCAAAGGCTTAAACATAACCGCTCCCTTTGACCCTTCAGTTCCACATCACACAAGTGCGTGATTGCAGAGTGGAAACCACCCTCGAGTGCATCCACTAGCGAGTGGCCTGCGTTTACCTTAGAAAGGACATGAGTTTGGGCTTCTGCTACAAGCGGATGAACCTGCAGGAGGAAGCTGGGGGATGTTGGCCAGTCGCAGGAGGACAGCCCCTGTGCTACTCTACTCACGATGCCCAGCGTAGGCCAGTCCACCGCGTCGGAAGCCTGGGAGGCGTGGCAGACGTGTGCATCTGTGGATGTGGGAGGGTTTTATGGTATATAACTCAGATCTCAATAAAATGAGAAGGAAGAGGGGAAGATTCAGTTGGCATGGACATTGTTCCACCAAGAAAAGCTCAGCTCTAGACGGTTTCTGTTGGATTTTTCCAAATAGTGAAGAGGCCATGATTCTTACCTGATACCAACGCTTCAGACTGAACACTCACAAGGTGCCAGAGTCCAGCAGAAAGAACACAAGCGAAGAGAGCTAAAAGCACACAGGTGACAGCTCCAGGCAAGGTATTCCTCGGGGATGCCAGCGGTAGGAGGGGCAGAGAGGTCCTGACCAAGTTGAGTTTGCCGGTTGACAATGTCAGCACCCACCAATGAGTGTGAAAGATTCTGAGCACACAGCCCCGATGTCCAGTTCTGCATAGCCGTCGGGAGCTGGAGCCTCCTCTAGGTCCGAGCCTGACCCGGGCACCTGCACTGGCCCTTCCAAGCACCGGGGGGCTAGCTGTTTCCATGGCCGCTGTCTCCCTCCTGGAGTGGCCTGAAGTCTCGCTCCGTGGTACCCACCCCAGCTCTCCCCTCTTTCCTCCTTTGGGGTCGCCACATTGGCAGGCTGTGTCTGGCTGCCAGACTCTGGAGCTTGGGCAGGGAGCCGGGCGAGCGCAGGTCATCTTGACTTGGGGTGAGCACACGGCCCCAGGGGCTGGCAGCATGGGGGTCAGGCAGAGCGGCGGAGGTGCTGAGCTGAAGGCTCGCGTTGCTCTGGGGAGCCAAGAACAATGTGAAGGGGAGATGTGAAAACAAAGAAGTCTGCAGTCCTCCAGATCTCAGCCTCTTGAGCAGCTGGGATTGTGAACATGAGGCCTGGTACCCACTCACCTGGACTAATGTATCTTCTGACCAGCGTCTCTGTAACCCCTCGTGATCACCATTTTCTCTCTACCTCAGAGTTGTACGGTTTCATTCTTCCAACTAGGAGTGGGATCATGTGGTACTTGTCTTTCTGTATTTGGCTTATGATATTAAACACAGCATAATGATTGTCAGTTCCATCCAGGTGGTCACTGTGACAGGATTTCCTCTTTTTGAAGGCTGTATGGTATTCCACAGTGACTTTATTTATCTGTGTATCAGTGGGTGGATACCCAGGTTGCTTCCGTTATGTTGGCTATTGTGAGCAGTGCCACAGTGAACAACTGATTGAATTCCTCTAGATAGGCTCCCGGTGTGAGGTCGTTTTTGGATAGTAATCCCCTTTCTGAAGTGGTTTTCTATCTGTGGGCTGTCTCTTCACTCTGTTGTGTTGGAGGTGATCTGTCTAGGTGAGAAGCCCCCTGGAATGGAAGTTGGAATACGGCCTGGCCACGTGTTCTGTCGCACACTCTGGTTAGGCAAAGGTAGCAGGGAGTGAGTGGAAAGTCTCTGTCCAGGAAGAGCTGCTTGCCCGGGAGGCTGGTGCCCGGCATGGCGGCTGAGTGGCGCTGCGGTGCCTCAGGCCCCCCCCCACGGGGGCCAGGCGGGCAGCTGCCCAGCGGGCGGGGCCTTGCCCAGGCTGCCCACCCGCCGTCACTGTCTGGTGGTGTGTGGGGGGGGGCGCTGGCCACCCCAGGCCAGCAAGCAAGGCCCGGCAGGCGAGAAGATGGGGGCCGGCCCATGCCCCCTTTTGGCTTTGGGTGACCCCTGCCCGGGGTGCCGTCCGGGAACTTCACCCCCCGATCCTCGTTAGTCTCGTTTATGGAGCACTCGAGAGGTGGGCCTGCCATCAACTGTACGGGTTGCCACCTGCCTCCTGTCCTGTGGGTGGCTGGATCTAAGATCCAGGCCTCTCCTCCTGGCTTCTGTGATCTGAGGTCCGTGGACTCAGCCTGAGCGGGTATCCAGGTGAACCCGTCGAGCATCCGGGCACACCCCACAGCTGAGCCGTACAGCCCCGCCACTGGAGCTCACACACGCCCCAGCACTCATGTTGGCTGGCAGTGGGCAGAATCAGCCCCACAGCTGATTTAAAGAGTATTGAGCAAGCTGGGCGCCAGTGGCTCATGCCTGTCATCCTAGCAACTCAGGAGGCTGAGATCTGAGGATCACAGTTCAAAGCCAGCCCGGGCAGGAAAGTCTGTAAGACTTATCTCCAATAAACCATCAGAAAACCGGAAGTGGCGCTGTGCCTCATGCTAGAGTGCTCGCCTTAAGCTGAAGAGCTGAGGGACTGTGTCCAGGCCCAGAGTTCAAGCCCCATAACCGACAAAAAAAAAAAAAAAAAAAAGTATTGAGCAGTAGCTTGGCTGCCTCAGAACACCAGCAGCCAAGCTCACTGCAGCACCAGCTGGTTTGCTGAGGATCGCGGCCGGTAAGCCCCAGTGCTAGCTCTGAACCCCAAGGAAGACCATCCTGGGTGGCGTCAGCCCAGGGACAGGAAAAGAAACAAAAGTCAGGGCCTGGGAAGGTGGCTCAGTGGTAGAGCGCTCGCCTCGCACGCCTGAGGCCCTGGGTTCGATTCCTCAGCACCACATAAGCAAAAAGAAAAAAGCTGGAAGTGGTGCTATATCTCAAGTGGTAGAGCGCTAGCCTTGAGCTGAAGAGCTGAGGGACAGCGCCCAGGCCCAGAGTTCAGGCCCCATGACTGGACCCCCCCAAAAAAGAAAGAAAAAAAAAAGTCAAAAGAGTAGCTTCTACCGTATGTATGTATTCCTGTCTACCGCCTCGCACCCTGGCCCCGCCTCGCACCCTGGCCCCGCCTCGCATCCTGGGCCCCGCCTCGCACCCTGAGCCAGCCTCGCACCCTGGGCTGGCCCTGGACTTGCTGTGTAGCCCAGGCAAACATCTCCCTGGCGTTTGTGGCGACTCTGGTTCACCCCACACACTGGGATTGCAGGTGTGAGCCGCCATGCCTGGCGTGGCTGTGTTTCTAGAGAGAAGCGGCGGCCGTAGCCTGCTCAGACCACTGTCGTGAATCTCAGGACATGTCACTCCCAGATGCCCCAGACTCTGAGACTAGAGGTGGCTGCCTGGCTCTGGCCGCCTCCCCGGGCCCTCGCGCGGAGGTGCCGAGGTCCCAGTCACAAGGGCTCTCCCGCAGTGTGGAGCTCCTCCCAGAGGCCCACTCAGGATGGCCGGAACCCCCCACGGCCTGGGACGGCCTGGGACCTCTGCGTGGTGCTCCCAACCCCCCGAGCCCCAGCTGGGTCCCACACGTTGGTGTGTTGTTACTCTGCCGTGGGATGAGAGCTTCCTAGAGCCCTGCACCCCGAATTTACCCCAGTGACAGGGTCCTGGGACACGAGCTGGCTGGAGAGAAAGGCTGTCCTGGGTTTTCTGCCCCACCCCGTGCTGAAGTTGACGCACTTGCCAGGGGGTGGGAGGGAATCTGCCCTCACTCCCCCCCCCTCCCCGCCTTCTTCTCCTCTGCCTGTCTCCTCTGCCCTTCTTCCTGGCCACAGCCTCAGCTGCACTTGGTCCCTGGCCCCCGGTCAAGCGCCTTGACCATACGGAGCGTCCTAGATGCCGGCCGCCTGGTCCGTGGAGCGGGAGGCTGCTGCCCGCCCTTCTCTGTCTTCTGAGCGCAGTGATGTTCCTTCTGGGAACAGTCTCCGCCCTGTGAGCCGCACTGAGCATGGGTCTCGCTCCCCAGCTTTCCCATGGCCCCCCTCTTGGTGGGCAGTTGGCCCGTGATCTCCAAGGCTTGGAGACTTCTGTGGCGAGCTCAGTCACCGGACAGGCCTGGATGCCCACAGTGTGGCCTTTGCACACGCCCAGCTCCTTCTGAGAGTCCCTGAGCACCTGTGCGAAGGTCTTAACATCCCGAGAGCTCCCGTCTCACACCGGCCTTCCTGCCATGGCCCTGATGCTTCATCTACATCCCTGAGTCCCCTCCACTCACCTCCACATCCCTGAGTCCCCTCCACTCACCTCTGCATCCCTGAGTCCCCTCCACTCACCTCCGCATCCCTGCATCCCTGAGTCCCCTCCACCCCCCCACATCCCTGAGTCCCCTCCGCATCCCTGAGTCCCCTCCACTCACCTCTGCATCCCTGAGTCCCCTCCACTCACCTCCACATCCCTGAGTCCCCTCCACTCACCTCTGCATCCCTGAGTGCCCTCCACTCACCTCCACATCCCTGAGTCCCCTCCACTCACCTCCACATCCCTGAGTGCCCTCCACTCACCTCCTCATCCCTGAGTGCCCTCCACTCACCTCCACATCCCTGAGTCCCCTCCACTCACCTCCTCATCCCTGAGTGCCCTCCACTCACCTCTGCATCCCTGAGTGCCCTCCACTCACCTCCACATCCCTGAGTCCCCTCCACTCACCTC